CTCTCTAAGTACCTCACTGCTTCTTGAGCTGTGACATACTCTGGAACCCTATAAACTTAAATCATACAGATGACAGGGCTACTTTGGTATGACTATACATGGCAGGGCCTTGTCACCCAACATATCATTTCTTGATACATAGGTAATATATCAATACACATGCCATGGCACAATTATCTAGATTAATCCAGACAGGACTTGAAAGTTTTAACAGACCGTGTGCAGCAGCCCACTGGTACCTGGATATATCTTTTACTGATTTACAAGACTCAGAGCAAAGGTAGACTTGTATGTACACTATGACACAAGTAATCATCTTTGGCAGAGTATACAATGTAATGTCTTCATCAGATACCCTCTGAAACTCATTGGAAAATTATTTACAGAGGACAGAAAGTGGTTCTTGCGATTTCATGTCTCTACTGTAATACGGGTAGCTTTACACAAAGTAAGGGAAATCTACCATGAAAGACCAACAAGTAAGGGAAATCTATCATGAAAGAGCAACAAATAAGAGAAATCTATCACGAAAGAGCAACAAGTAAAGGAAATCTATCGTGAAAGTGCAAAGCCCAAAACTGAAAGAAAGAATGGTGTTTTTACCTTAACTTTGAACTTAATCTCTCCCTTTTCCACTACAACACTCACAGTTCTATCAACCACCATATGACATCAGTCAGACTATTACCAGTCTAGGTAATTCATCACGAACATGGTTGTAGTCTTGTGATCCTCCTCGAGGACCTATCTACCATTACATCACTTTGAAAATATGTTTCCAGAGGCCCCCTTGGCATCAATAAGAAACTAATGTGATATTGGGGCCACCTAAATTCCATAAAATAGGCAACAGGGCCAGGTAACATGTACAGAGGAACACCTGGGCAGTCAGGTGAAACACCAGTGCTCTGATAAGAAGATGGCTTGTCCTCTGGCACTGACAGAAAATCTTGGCTGACTACAACATCTTTTATAATATAATTATATATTTGTCTAAGAAGTACTTTCTAGTTTTAGCCCCACTATCAATATAGGTTTCTACCAGTATCTCACCAGAATAAACCACTCACATTTTTCCAAAATTCTATAAACTACATTTTGGGCTCTGAATGTGTACATTTTAGAAGCATTTTGAAAGGTCCTATCATCAGGTAGAGCAGCCTGCCACAACTGATATATACTATCCATGTTTCTAAAACCTTCCCCAGGACAGGGCCCAAAAATTGGATAACAATTCTTAGCCATCCTAAAATATCCATGTTCCTAATAATTTTCCTAATAATTTTCCCTATACTGAATGCCCTGTCACACGCATTTTCCTAACCCCTCATCTCACCTGAACACTGAATATATTCTTCTGGCCAGGAAAGGGGACTGATGACCAAAGAGATAAGCTGCTGTCCAGTTTCACTGACCAGTGACCACTGGTGATTTACAGGCTTGCAAGCACCTTCTATCCTGCCTACATCTGCCCAGGTCCCCTTCAGCAATGTGTAGAACAATTTCTCTTGTCTCACCTGAGCGCTGACCATTCATTCTTCCTGCCAGGCCTGATGGACAATGAGATAGGCTGATGTCCAGCCCCACTGACCACAGTGACCACCACTGCCACTGTTCAGATCCTACTTTGCTTCAGGTGTAGCTGCTAGCATAAGGAATCTTGGGTTTCATCATATTTTGTCTTGTGAGAGATCTTGACTAGTTTCCTGGTGAGAACTAAGTCTGCCTGTGGTTTATCTTTCTCTCTCTCCCCTCCCTAAATTTCATGTTTTGAAACTCCATAGATGTGAATCTTTTAACAAATTTAAGTTTATGTTATAAAAAAAAAAAAAAAAAAAAAAAAAAAAAAAAGAATCTTAATGGTTTTCTTCTTGCAGGATTTTCACACCTACTATTGATTTTATGAGCAAAATAATCAAGACAGTAGATCAGCAAATTATGATGATTTCAGTCAGTCAGCTGGCTCCAGCCCACCTCCTCCAATCCTCACAAATAATTTCCATGATCAAAAATAGAAAAGGGGCATTATTTAAACTATCTAGCTTTTTATAGCTTTATAGCTCTTGTCATCTGATAAAAATGTCACTGGAATTCACAGACCTTCTAAGTGACTAAATAACAATATAGTTGCTATCACAAAAGTTGTATTAGCTATGTTTTCTACGTGCTTAAGATATCATCTTTTGTTTGATGTATAATTTGTTATGGTATGTGAGAGAAGGGAGCAAGTTTCATAAAGCTGATCATTAGTTTAAAATAATACATCTCTTGAAAGAGTTCATTTGTTGAATCTTCTTTCCAAAGTTAAAAGGCAAACTGAACAAATAAGCCACTGAAAATAATAATAATAATAATAATAATAATATTATTATTATTAGCACACGAGATTGGACAACATGGAATGAAAAACTCCACAGCAAGATGATGGGATAAAAGCGCTATTTATAACTATCTCCTCATTACATCTGGTGACATCAGTCAGAATACCTCCGTTCCAAACGAGTCTCTGTGTGAACACGTCCAGTGAGACTGAGACTCACCACTGGAAATTCTCCATATAAGCCCCCGCTGCGTTTTTCCGTGAGACGATCCATTTGTCACACATGACAGCCCTCTATTGCTAAGCACTAGCTAACAGAGGGACAGCTATGTGACCAGAGAATGTACCTGCTTGTTCCAGGTGCAAATGTGTTCCTCTTCAGCTGGCTGTAAACTGTAGGACAATTAATACTCGGGAAAGGGTGAGAGTCGGGGGTGGGGGGGGGGGAGGGAGAGGAGCAAAGGAGACTAGGACTCGTAGTTTATAGGCTAATGCAGGTTAATTTTGAATCTAGATGCTAAATATGAAAGATCAACTTTTGCTGAAACATAGTAATGGCTTTTGAATTTTTTTTAAAGAAAAAATAAGCCATCTGTTTAAAAAATAAATAAACGTGTGTGTGTGTGTGTGTGTGTGTGTGTGTGTGTGTGTGTAATTTCAGTCTTACTTTAATATTTTTTAATATCTCTTTCAAGAAACTGACAGCTAACATCTAGGCTGGGACTCAAATCATGATCAAAGCCTCGTCAGAGAAAATGTTAAAATCCACTGCAAATGCATTTCATAATGTCGTCCTAAATATAATGTTCCCATTTCCCAGGTGACAACACTTACTGTGAACCTGAATATACCTGTTCATCACTGGTTTCAGAGAAGGTCCATGAAAGCAGACATGTTTGATGCACTATGGCATGCTTTATTAGGTGTCATTCAGAACACAGTGCCATTTGTCACAATTAAGATGTCACCTCTCATTTTGTACATTGGAGTCGAAAAAAAAAACCAAAGCTCCCAGACAGAATAAATGTTTATGTATCGTTTCATACCAATGCACTTGCTATTCTGAACCCAGACAAATGTATTCCCACAGAAGCATGTTTCTGGTGAATACATTTTCTGACTCATGTTTATACATCATTTCATATCAATTTATTATATATTCTGAATCCAGACAAATGTATTCAACAGAGCCATTTTCGTGATCTTACCTGTACGTTTATGGCAGGGTGTTTCAAGAGGTTTAGCAGAGCTAAAATATTCAATTAAGATGAACCAGGAACTCATTATCAAAGTTTGCATTTACCACATGAGTAGCCTCTGCAACAATACAGAAAGTGGTTCTTAAATAGAACTCTGACGTCCTTAACAATGTCTTGATTTTCAAATTTGAAAGAGGAACTATAGTATACATATAAAACAGATATCATTATAAGTTAAAGAAATTTGAAAGAGAAATAACAAGTACAATAGAGAGTTATCAAATATCTTCAATAATGGTCTGTTCATTTTAAATCTGCTTCACTTTTCGTGGTACATTAAATAACTAATTCATTTGAAATATTTTCTTTTCATGCTAATCAATGAGATTTTGAAAGAGACACTATTTTGCAATACAAAAATACATCTCAATTTTTTCTTTGTCCAAGGCTCAAGTACACCTTGTATCTTAACTACACATTAACTACAGAAATGGGGAAAATTATCAATTTTCAGATACTTTAAAAACCATTAAAATATGTTTCTGCATGTGTAGCCTTTTTTTGTGCAATATAGAACTATAAGGTAGCCTGCTTTTCATTTTAGTTGCTACCACTGAACAGGAATTTTCTAATTTTAAGAATTTATAGGTTGAAAAAATACAGTATCTGTAAAATTCACATTTCCATTGAAAAGAATGAGTAATTGTCATATTATACTGTCTCTTGTATTCAGTGGGAATCATTTTCAATTTCATTTTTCGCGAATGTGTAAAAAATGCAGCACAGCAGAAAATAATGCATCTTTGATAATACCAGATGTGTAGCATAAATGTAGGCACAGAAGCAACAACAAACCATTTATCTAAGCCCAGAAAAACAAACAAGTACTCCAATGCCAAGAGCACATACAATATGTTTACCTTTATCAATTATTAAGTGCTTTACCAGCTTCCTCAAGTGCATAAAATATCTGAACTGTTATCACAGAGAGAGACTAGAACTTGGTCAGAGTCTACCAGCTGAAGGAGTCACAATGGAGAGTATTATCAGTGGATGATGAATACACAGAATATTAAGAAACCCTGGTCAGAGTCTGATGCTGAAACAATGCCTCTTATCTCTATCAATGAACAGCAATGCAATACAAATTTGAATGTGGCTTTTTACGTCAAACTGACAGTTACATGTTGCAGAACCGTGTCCAAATTCAGGCAGATTTCTGCAAGAGGTAATGCAATCAATTTCAATTATCATTATTATTATTATTTTACGTCATTCAAATTTGTGATTGCCCAAATGCCAACCATTAATTTCCAACCAGCCACTTGTTTGAATACATCATTTGTCACCTTAGCAAGACAACAGCAACTGTCAGTATTGATAACAATTCTAGTTCAATTCCTTCATATCTAATCCACAGATACGAGGTAGAATACCAATTACATGAACCACAAGTTGTGTTATCTGTAAAGCCACCTTACCTAAGAGATCCTTAAGGTGCTTGGCTATCTTCTGTCTGTTAATATTCTGGTCTATCTCTGGTATTGTTCTCAGTTATCTCTCTGTCCTTTGGGTTTCTTCACTCTGGTATATTTCTGTAAAGACAAAAAGGGATGTGTCACTTAAAGTATTATTCAACTGTCAATCAATTGTTTTTCCAAAAATTACTGTAACGTTTAAATTAAAATTCTTGTATTTTTGTGAATTTTTTATTTCAGCTTCAAGGGAACAGATCTGAAATAGAAAATAAACTGATGTATTGTTGATTTTTTTTTCTTCTGCCTATCTTGACTAGTACCTGGCAAAACACAGGTTGTTGTTGAAATTGGATTGTCCAAAAATTATTGAAAATAATAATAATAAAAAACTCAAACAATCTTACACTATTTCTACAATGCATTCATAAACAAAGTACCTAAACTGTTGACAGCCAAAAATAGAATATCCTGTATTTGCTTCTAAAAATAACCATCCAAACACATACATACTAGTAAGTGGCCAGTAAATAATACAGTAACTACTGTAATAAATGATGACTAAGTCAAAAACAAAGAGTAAACCAGGTCAAATCTCTTTCCTCTTTTTGTCATTCTAAAACACTGCTTCAGCAAAAAAAATAAATAAAAATTCATAATTTTAGTACCTGGAATATGAACTCCATTCACGGATAAAAGAACCTGTCTTGCTATGAAATACACCTTCTCCAAGCAGTAACATGTAAACAAATGCAATCATTAAGTATGAAAAATCCAAAACAACAGGTACACTAAGTGCAAACCAGCTATGACGAAATGACACCTCTTTACCACTACCGGACCTTTAAAAACCTCTGGCGAATAAAAAGAAGAGGAGTGTCAGATCTCCAAATTGAGATCTTTATCTCTGTGGCAGCTTTTGTTGGAAAAAATGCCAATTTTCCGTGTGCCAAGCCTGACCATCATAGTTAATAAGTTGTTGACAGTATATTATCAAACATTTTGACATGTTGAGGTATTTTTTTTCTGGGGAGAGAGAGAGGAAGCAAAATTACATAATAATAGAAATAATTCTGAAGCAGAGAATAAAGAGACACACATGTTGGAACTAGGAATCAAATCACAGATTTCGCAGAATTACCATGATGCTTTTGTTTCAATTCCAAGAATTTGGTGAATAACAAAAAGGGGGGAATGGTCGTGAATATATAAATTTTTTGTATAAATTTATATATAAGTATAAACTGCCTATTTTGCCTCCACTGAATAGTTTTCCTGTTGTCTGATTCTGAGAATTCTATGAATGATATCGAGAAGGGTTTGAAAACACATCAATGAGAAAATGACATAACCAAAAAAGCAATATGCACAAAACACTAGAAATTTTCCAGGCAACATGCACTGAACAATATTCCTGCATTTTTCAGTTAAATTCTATGCTTCAGAGACCAGCAGCAGTCAAACAGTAAGCTCTAACAGGCACAAATAATATATCTTTGCCTTCTTTGGAACAAACCTACACAACATTTTCTCTCTTTATCCACACAGACATGTAAAAGAAAAGATTAATGGATAGATGGATGGATGGATGAGTTGACATATGAACAGGTACAGAGACAAGTGAATAAACAGGACAGCTGTCTGAGAGTTGAGGCCTCTACCAGGAAACAAGGCAAAAAAAAAAAGAAATAATAATAATAATCTAAAAAACATTCAGTTGAAATTGAATTCCCACCTTTTCCTCCTGAAAATTCCATCAAAATTTGCGGAGAACCTTTTGAGAGATCTTAACTTATATTAACCAACATCTTTAAAAACGTAACCTCTAGTTGCTGACAATAATGAATGGATGAGCAGATGAAGAAATAGATAAATAAAGGCAAAAACAAATAAGCACATGCAGAGACAAACTGACAAACAGATGAACGGAACAGGCAAAATAATTAATCAATTAACACGAAAAGCATGACTGACTGACAAATGACTAACAAAATATATGAATTAAAATAAAAATAAAACTAATACAACGATCAGAAATGTAAACAAGAGTCCCAATCACAAAGGAATGCCACACCCTGTCATGCGTCACCTCAGATTACCACTACAACGCCACTGTCACCCATAATTTACGTCAGGTAACCACGAATAATCAGGAACTCAGGTAGCTATCTATACAAGCCATAACTTCCTTTGCCTGACAGTTCACAGCAAGTTCTGAGATAATTACCTCCTCTGTAAGAGATATGTATCTGACTAATGGTTTCATTTTTTTTTCTTCTAAAATTATTTGTTGACAAATGATAGTGGGGAAAATAGTTTCTTAAAGAAGCAGGTCCAAGATTTGGGTAACTATTCCTGATGTAGTTTTAGTTTAATCCTGAAAGAACAATAGTTTGCCTTTCAGAAAGTAAGAAAGAATGTTTAACTTAACCCCACCTTTCACTCTAACCTATCCCACTGAGCAAATAATTTCTGTCTTTTTTCTCCATCAAATACTTAAAGCATAAAATACATTTTCTACCAGTGGTGGCAGTAGTATCATGGTCTGTAGGCTAATAAGCAGGAAGGAGTCAGCTTTCTCACCAGTAATTGCTCAGGTCCTCCTCTCTCACCTGTGATCTCTCCCACAAATGGATAAACATGCCATGACCCCGACCCAAAGAGAGGTTTGTCACAGAGGCAAACAATCTGATCAGAATAACACCCTTTCTTGTTTGCCAGAGACTTTCCAAAGGAATAATGAAAGAGATGTCTTTTCATGTAACAGAGAAATGAAAGAGAAATAATAAGCAACAAATTCCACCCAAACTGGTATACATTGCAGAAGTGCAAACAATATGGCCAGAATAAGTGTCCTTTAACGTCTGCCAGAGAATTACAAAAGAATACTACAAGAGATGCCCTCTCATATAACAGAGAACTGAAAGAGAAATGAAAAGAAATAACTTTTGCTTCAAAGTGAATGTATTACAGAAGCAGACAATGTGGGCAGAAGAGCAGGTTTCCTTTTCTGTTCCATTAAAAATTTGAAGAAAACTAAATATGTAGTGTCTTAGGAGATGTACATCTGACAAGAGGTTGAAGAAATAATGCCAGTCTAAGGTAAATTGTTACTAAAGCCAGCTGTTCATGACAATTGGTACTTCCCAAATAATTCAGATACCATTTGGTATCTAATTTGGAGAAAAATGACTGATGGCAACATTAAGAGTAGTAAAAAGAGCCTGCCCAAATTAACAGATAATCTCATTTCTCTATCCATGTTTTTTCACTATTACTTTTATCATGCCTGATAAAAGTTTTACCCACTTTTTTCACACTACATGCTTTTCTAGTTGACTTCATGTGATAACATAATACAGAATATGGCTTCTACCCCCTTAAATAATCCAATACCACACACACACATACACACAACACCAGGCAGCCAGTTTGCTAACAAAGGGAACAACTCTGTCACAATAAGGGGCACAGTGTCACACAGTGTCACAAACAATGTTCCCCTGTCCCTCTGTCACACAGATGAAAACATTAACCTTGTGTCACCATCCAAGCTGGTTGACAACAACCACAAAGCAACTGGAATCTGAAGCTGTATTCATAGTCTATGGGCCAATGTAGACCCCCCTCCCCCCTATCTTTGATACTTAGACTACTACAACATATGGATTGGTCTTAAATGACTTCTGCTTGACAATAAAGCTTGTGTACATGTTCTTGTCAGTTGTCTTGAGAAATGAATTAACACCTATTGTTTACACCTGTAACAGTTGCCATGGTAACTGCAACCAAAACAATTGAGGTAAAAACCACCAAAACGGCTAATTTCTCACACAGCATTGGAATCCCAAAGTGAAGCATTTGCCTTTTCAGACCAAACCCTCTTCAGACCAAACTCTTTGTTAATTGGATCATTATCCTGGAATTTAACATGACTAGCCTCTCTCCCACCCCCTCTCAAAGAAAAAATGATTAACAAGAAAATGTTGTCTCTTTCTAAACCACTTATTAAACATAAGTTAAAATAAATATATATGGAAAACAGAAATGACTTTCCAACGACAAATAATAACCCAATATGACAATTCAACAAATGATCAGGTACAGTTGATCCTGAGGCAAGTGACTGCTTGAACAAACTAAAATTAGAACTAACAGATGTCATCTCTCTTGGTGTTATTGTCATTCTCTTGAAACATGCCACTGTATTGTGATGACTAATAATAATAAGACATATCAACACAACAACAGCAATTTGTGCATTAAAAAGATCTCAAAAAGTGACAGTAAATCACAAAGGTGAATAATAGTTTTTTTCTAATTCTTTTAAATATAACACAGAAGCTACAGATGTCAAAAAAAAAAA